GGTACTCAGTTTTTCGATCAGGTCGACGTAGACAGCGAGTCTTAGTCGTGCAAAGGTTCAGCATAGCGTTCAGCTCGATGGAAAGCGAGATCGATGAATTCGTAGCAGAAGGGTAACTGCTATTCCCTGCACTTTGCATTTGTTTGTAAAGTAGATGATTAAATACAACGTAGACGTATTAAATGATGAAGACCCCTGTTCGGTAATCGTCTTGTTCTTTACTACCGACCAGTTCTAAGTGTTTGCAGATACGGTTCAAGATGATTCAAGTAAAGATCTGATGGACTTGTGGCAGTGGAGTAACGGGTCGGAAGTTTTGGAGATCGTCAGCATCACTTTTATTGAATATAACAATCAATTTACATGTCATCTCCTCCATGCTTCCTGTTTCTTCTTCAGCCTGAGATACTCTGTAAATCGGTCGGCAAGGTCATTTCTCCCTACTTGAAATGTTTCGGTTATATGCCGTTCATGCTACGATATCTGTCACCGTTGACATTTTCGATTGCCTGCTACAGTTTTTCCTCGATGAAATTATCATGCGACAGATTGCGGTTTACTTTACCTTCGAAGTGTAGACATTGTTATAGAACCTCTTATAGGCAGCTTTATGCGACAGTCATTCCGTTCTTGTTCTTCTTTCCTCCTGAGTGCTACCGGAATCAGCTTTTTTTAAAGATGTTACATTTTTTTGCGGCCTTCAAGCTATTCATCTTAAATGCTTTCTCAGATTTATACTCCTCATAATTCTTTCGAATCATTTTCCTTATCTCTTTGCCCTTTGCAGTGTGCTCATCGTCCAGTTCTCAGGCAGCATTCATTCTTGGTGTGGCCAGCAACTACATAATTCCACTGCTTATGCGTATTTTTCTAATCGAGATTGCTGCCCGGCTAAATGACCGGATGGAGTTTTTATGATATCGATTAGGTGGGTCTGCTTCGGTATCAATGCTCGTATTTGTTCCACTTGCTTGTCTGCCGTACCTTCAGGTTCGAATATTCGTCTAATTGCTGGTGGTCTTTGAGCCCTTCTAACCTGATCGTTAGCGACATCGATTGTGTCTATAGATCGAAGTAATCTGTAGCTTGATCCTCTGATGAAATCTTTTTTCCAAAGACAGACATCTGCTATTACCTGCCTTAAATAGTTAATTACTGTTCATGCTGTTATATGGTATATTTTGTGCGATATAAACTTGTAAGTATTTTTCCAAAGAACTTTACAAATATAGGTTTATTTAAATTGATTCTTTATTTAATTATTTGAATAGTTTAGATCAAGTTCACGGAGTGCGCAACAACTGTTGTAGCAAGATGTACAACAGTCTTGCATTTTAGGTTAGTGAACCGCTTCCCGATAGCCTGCTGTAGTTATCCTTCTCTTCCTGTTTTTCATTGTTTGTATGACTAGCTCTATTTTGGTGCCAGGGATCGTGACTTTTTTCGGTCATTTTAAATATTTTGGGTATTAGGTAGACACAGTTAAAAATTGAACATTGTTTTATGATGCGGTAGGCTGGTTCTATGTCCGTAGTGATAAAAAGCCATGTCGAATTTATTTAGTTTAGGATTTAATACATTCTATACATTTATTATATTGACTGCGTTTCAGGCGGTTCTCTGACATTTTATTCCATATACTGTGTCTGCTTGTATTTTTTTCCATTTAATTTATTAATTTATATTCAGTCTATTATGGCAATATGCACTAAAAGAGTCATAAAGATATCGATAGATATTGTTATAAAATTTTATTACATCTCTTTTAGGCGGTCGAGAAAGCGAAACACGATTTGTTCGAAAGACTTAATGCATTGGACAAATACTTGCTCAGCCAGACGTTTCTGGTCGGCGAACGCTTCTCTGTGGCGGACATCATTCTGGCGTGCGATTTACTCCCAGCTTATCAACATGTGAGTGTGCAGTGCTGTACATAATACCAGGGAATCCGATTAATTCAGTTAA